TGCCCGTCGCGCGCCCCGTGGCACGCGACGGTGCCCTTCTACTGCCCATCGTGCGCCCCGTGGCACACGATGGTGCCCTGCTCGTCGTGTGCCCCGAGGCACACGATCGGGCCCTTTTATTCTACCCGTCGTGCGCCCCGTGGCACTGGCCCGCGACGGGCCTTTCCGCCCCTGCACTCCCTGCTGCCGCCCCTGACCCATCTGCACCGACGCCTCTTCGCCGCTCTGCGGCTTTCTTCCTTCCCACCCCCCCCTTTCTCTTGTCTCCCTGCAGCCGTGGGGAGGAGGGTATGGGGGTGGAGGGTGTTGGAGCGTGGGGTCAACTCTCTCCCTTTCCCTCCTCCTTCTTTCAGTCCCACCGCTGCAGCTGCCGCTGGGGGGGGAGGGTGTGAGGATGTGGGTGAGGAGGGGGAGTGGTACCGGGGTGGCGGGTGTGAGGCAACAAGCAGCCGTCCCTCCACCTCTCCTCTCTTCCCCCCTCTCTGCTGCTTCTGCAGCAGTGTGGGGGAGGGGAAGGAGGAGGGTGAGGAGATGGAAGGGGTACCTGCTGTTGCTGTAACTACATACCTACCTACAAGCATTATGGGGGCGTGTCGAAATATTTTGTCATGATTTATAATTGCTTGTAGTTGTAGTTAGTGTAGTTATGTAAACTTTTGTTGGTGGTGCACCTTATTGTGTTTCTATGCTATATGTACCCCTGAACCTATAGTGAAACGCACCTTTTCACCAATTTCTCTCAACTCACTCGATACATCGCTCCTAGGGAAAATCCCGCTCGATACCTAAGTTCGGGCCTAGGCTACTAAGCCTAGGCCCCACCTCTTAACTTACCTATTACTCTCGACAGCGTTCGGTCCCGGCTTTTACGTAGTAGATTCCCTTGGCTGCTGCGAATTGCTGCGAGTTTCCTCCTGTGAAGAATGGGTCCGTTTGATATCCGTGGGTAAATAGTCCTGTTAGTAGCGGGCTGGTCTGGGCGAGTAGTATCGCATGGATCTGGGCAGTTGGGCGGGTCAGTGCGTCGGCGATGTTCGAGGCTCCCTTTTTATATGTGACTGTGTAGTGGAAGTTTGACTCGAGGAAATCGAGCCACCGAATCTGTCGTGGGTTGAGGTGGGGTTGTGCGCGGAGGTACTGTAGGGATCGGTGGTCTGTTAGTACTGTCACGTCTGCGCCGGTCAAGTAGTAGCGCCACACTTTGAACGCATGCAGGATCGCGAGCATTTTGCGGTCGTGTATCGGGTAATTTTGTTCGGGCGGATGCAGTTTTCGTGATTCGTATGCGATGGGCTGTATGCCGTTGCCGAAGTCCTGTAACAGTACGGCTCCAATGGCGATGTCGCTTGCGTCTGTAACAACTTCGAGGGGGTGATGTGGGTCAGCGATGCGCACGACGGGTGGTGAACAGAGAACATTTTTCAGGGCAGAGAAGGCAGCATGCCCTTTCTCCCCCCACGTAAAAGCGACCCCCTTGCGTAGTAAATCTGTCAGCGGGGCGGTTAATCGTGCCATGTCGGGGACGAACTGACGAACATGATTAATGAACCTAAAAAAACTCTGCAGTTCCGTGATGTTCGTCGGGGGACGCCACGCTTTGACCGTATCCAGCTTCTTGGGGTCGATTTCGAATCCAGCCTCCGAAATAACGTGCCCTAAAATTCTAGCCTGTCCCGAAAACACTCGCACTTAGAGCCCTTGGTGAGTAACCGATGTTTCTCTAAAACTTTAAACACTGCTTCGAGATCTGCTAAGTGCTGCTGCTTGTCGCAAGTGTAAACGAGGATGTCGTCGAGGTAAACTATCACGCATTTATCTAAGAGTGGCCTAGACGCCTCATTCATGGTCATCTTAAACGTTGCGGGCGCGTTGGTCAGCCCGAAAGGCATCACTGTGTACTCGAACGACCCGTACCTAGTCCTAAATGCTGTCTTGGCGCAGTCCGATGGTTCGATCCGAATCTGATGGTAACCCCCCCGTAAGTCTATTTTCGAAAACACCCGTGCTGTTTGCAGTTGGTCGATCAGCTCGTCGGCACGGGGAATGGGGTACCGTGATTTTACTGTTACCCTGTTATGCGCTCGGTAATCGATGCACATGCAAAACCCTCCGTCTTTTTTCGGTGTGAACAGTATCGGTGCGGCGAACGATGACGAGCTCGGTCGGATAAACTGCTTCTCTAACAAATAATCTAACTGCTTCCTTAGTTCGTCGAGCTCGGGCTGTGTTAGTCTGAACTGGCGCTGTACAGTTGGCTGTGCCCCCGGTTCTAACTCGATCCTATGGTCATGCGCCCGCTGAGGTGGCAGCCCTTGCGGTAAGTCGTCTGGAAAAATCCCCGGGTACCGTTTTAACAGTTCCTGAAGTTCGGGCGGTACTGCTGCCAACAGTTTCTGAAAATCGCTCGGCTACTCCTCTTCTCCCACTAGTGCTATATCCACTGCGTACACGTCAGCTCCAGCGGCGACAACCCGTTTCATCGTGATGGCGTTGATGTGGACCGTTGAAGACTCACGTGACTGCTAGCGAGGTAGTTCGACCCAGTTACCACTACTTCGCATGGTACAGCTACCCGTCGTCCAGTCAATTTGCGGGTTATACCGTCGCAGCCAATCACGTCCCAATAAAATGTCGTGCCCATCCAGTGTCGTTGCGAGCATTTCCTGTGTCAACCCGAAATTCCCTCCGCACCGGACTTTTACTCGCTCCACCTTTTCCCGTATGGCCAGTGGTGTGCCGTCGACTAAGCGTGCGTCTATCTCAGGTAAGCAATGGTTAAGTGTTAGCTGTAGTTTTCGTGCGGTTGCGGTATTAACTAAACTATGACTTGCTCCTCCGTCAATAATAATCTTCACTGCTGCTCCCTGTATTTTCCCGTGGATCAGTATTGGGCAATCCATCGCTGTACCCTCCTTATTCATCCGAGCCCGATCGATGGCATGAATCGGTACTATGACTCGGTGAGGGTCGGTGCGGTTGGGCAAGCAAGCAGTCTCGTCAGTAGTTGGCCCAGCTTCTACTGACTGCTGGCGTTTCCCTGCCTCTGAGACTCCCTCCCCTGCTCTGCTCCTCGGCGCCTCCGCTCCTCTGGGCATTCGCTCTTGCGATGGCCCGGCCTGCTGCAAGCAAAGCAGCGCCCCTTAAACGGTGCGGCAGCTGCATTCGTTGCAATGGCGTGTACAGTGGCGTGCTCGGTCGGTCCCCGAGGGCGATGTCCGTAGTAGGACCCCGGTCTCGGTCGGCGTAGAATGTCGATCTTCTCGGCGAGCGCGAGAATCTCGTTGAAATTAGAGAGTCCGCGCAGCATGATTTCGTGCAAGATATCCGGCTTCAGCCTTCCGACGTAACGGTCCACCCGCTCCACTTCGTCCATGTAGCCGACCTGCTCGCAAAGTGCGAGAAAACCGCTCGTGTAATGTTGAACCGACCCGAGCTGCCGCCAAGTGCGCAATCTCTGACGCGCCAAAATGGAAGCCACGATCGGCTCGAAGCGCGCCCGAAGCCGTGCGCACCACGCATCCCACGTGCTGTATTGGGCGGTCTCACAGAACGAACTCAAGGTGACAGATGGACCCGTGGGCCCTTCCTCGTGCGACGGTGGCTCGTAGGCGCATGGCGACGTCACAATGACTCGCCACCAGTCCATGGCGGGGCCCCTTAGCAGCGAAACTGCATACCGAATCTTCGCGGCGTCTGACTCGACGTAGTTCGCGTCGAAGAAGATGTTCATCGTGAAGACCCACGATTGAACCGTCGGACCTCCGCGTTGGCTTGGGTCGAAGCAGGGCGGGCGTTGCGGCTTGAGCGGCATTGGTGCAATAATGGCCTGTTCGCCACTTGTCGCCGTGAATTCCACGTGCCGACGGGCTTCACAGGGCTCCCGCGGGCTTGGTGCGACCCTGCTTCCTCCCATGCCAGGCATCAGCTGGGCGGCGCCATCACTGGCTGCGACTGAGCGTTGTCCCATGCTGTCGTGTTGCGTTGGTGTACCGGACGAAATGATGATTGGCTCGTCCGATTGTGCAGATGCATTTGTCGGTGCGTGTGATGTCGCTGGAATGTTCACCGTGGATTGTTGACCGGCGGAGTCACGTTCCGCCGTGAGCGTCGCAATTTCGAGCGCCGAATCTTCAAGTTGGCGCACGAGACGATCAAGCTGCTCCTACGTCAATGTGGCGAGCGTGAAATCGGCCATGGCGGGGGTGTCGGGCGAGCTCAGCGAGAGCCTCGGTCGTGGCCGTGCGTGCTTACGAGAGAGCACTACGAGCGGCGGTGCTGTATCGCTGAGAGACGTCTACCCCCCCCAAAAATTGAGATAGTGGGGAAGCGAAAGTGTGGGTGCGGTCCGAAAGGAGATCGTAGGCTCTGAATACCAAGTGTTACGAGTGCAATTGAGTGAACGAACGAGAATTGCACTATCGAAGCAAGAATACAATGAGCGAAGGCATGAGCGAAGAATATATAGCGAAACTACAGTGGTAACGGTAATGGACTGTGGTTGTCGCGCGACGGGCCTGGGACTGAGGTTGGGAAAGTGTCGAAGCGGAGGCCCGGAGCGCGGGTTACCAGCCGAGCCGTGAGGTCGGGGTGCGATGTGCGAAAGTGGCGGGCTGATTGTCGATGCGAGGATCGCGAGTGGTAACGGTGCTGACTGTGGTGCTACAGTGATGTACGCGTTGAGCAGGGATGCGAAGTACGGAAAATGGATTTTCGTTACACACATCCATATATTGAGGAAATTGACCAAAGAATTTCGTTGGTTGCAGATCAATACTGAGTGTAGCAGTGAAGCTCGCTCAGTGTCGCAGCTGCGATATTGACTCGCTTTGCAGATAGTGGGGCTTGACAGTCAGAACACACAATCCATCCAGACGTGAACTGCACGTCAACCTCCCATTCTCGAATCTGGACTCTGCTCTCTTCGTTATCAGTCTCGGTTCGATATAATCCACACGCGCAACCCATGCTTCTCGTCCTTCGCAGTTCCCCGTCCCGCATTCATGGCGACAACCACGCACGCCCCCTCCCTCCGCGTTTCCCGCTTTAGCGCCACTCTCCACCACAGCACGGCTGCCTCTTCCCGCCTCTCGAGCCGCCTCCGCCGCTGTCCGGTCTCTCCTCTTTCGCGTGCCCCCCTCTCCGCGACTGTTCCGCGCGCCTCCCAACTCCGCGCCCGGCTTCTCCGCGGGCCTGTCCGCGCAAGCGGGGGGAGCAGCGGGAGAACCGCAAAAGACCCATCAGACGATGATGACGTGGCTGCAGCGTTTTCGTCGAGGACAAACGCATCCAGTTTAGGGCCGAGCGGGGAGGAGCAAGGGGTGGGAAGCGGAGAGATAGATTCGCGGGGAGAGAGAGACCCGTGGGGACGGGGAGAACCTTTGGGAGAGAGAGAACCTTTGGGAGAGACATACCGGCGGGGGGGTAGAGAGCAACAGCGTGGAAATGCGGGGGAATGGGTTTCGTCATCGGGGGAATGGCGGTTGTCGACTGGCGGTACTAGCAGCAGTCAAGGACTAGATTATGATATCGACCCGCTAAGTAGCAAATCCGGTTTCCGTTATAATTACCACACAGGCGACGAAGACCCAGAAGGTAGTATCGACGCCGCAAAATCTTACCCACCGTCGCCCCGTTCCGCCATTCCCCCGCTCCCTTTACCCCGCATTCCGCCCACTACCCGGTCGCCTCCCCCCCAACCCCACCAATCCTCCCCACCTCTCCCGCGCTCCCCGCCTCCTCCCCCTCCTCCTCCGCCACAAATCCCTCTTCCTCCCCCGCGGTCGTCGAATCCGTTCGCGGCGGTGAGCAAGTTCGCGTTAGCGGGGGTGTTCTTACTGGGGATAGGCGCGGGCGTGTCGGTGGACACGGTGCTGAACGTGGAGCCCAGCAACGTGGCGTCGCGGGAGGTCATCGACCGCCAGACGCCCAACCCGGACATCTGCCTCGCCAACGGCATGAGCGCCATGGTGCTCGACCAGCGCCTCTTCATCTCCTTCAATCCGTGAGTCGGTTTTCTCCTTGCCCTGACCAGGTGGTGACCAGGTAACCGGCCCGCCCATCTGCCTCGCCAACGGCATGAGCGCCATGGTGCTCGACCAGCGCCTCTTCATCTCCTTCAATCCGTGAGTCGGTTTTCTCCTTGCCCTGACCAGGTGGTAACCAGGTAACCGGCCCGCCCATCTGCCTCGCCAACGGCATGAGCACCAACGGCTCGACCAACGGTTGTTCATTTCTTTCAATCCGTGAGTGTCTTGCCTTTTTTTCTCCCTCTCGTTTCTCTCTTTTTTTTTGTGTGTCATCTCTTACCCTGCCCGCTTCTCTCCCACCCTGCCTGTCAATCTCCCCCCCCCCCCGCCCCCCTCCCGCCCCCCTCCCGCCCCCCTCACCCATTCTCCTGCAGCTTCAACGTGTATGTGTCGCAAGCACAGGTGAAGCTGGGGTGTGTGTTGCGTGTGCCTCTTCATGAACCCCCTTTCTTCCGCTGTCCCCTGCTCTTACCCCCTCCCCCTTCCCCCTGCAGCTTCAACTTGCATGTGTCGCAAGCTCAGGTGAAGCCAGGATGTGTGCTGCGTGTGCCCCTTCATGAACCCCCTTTCTTCCCCTGTCCCCTGCTCTTACCCCCTCCCCCTTCCCCCTGCAGCTTCAACGTGCATGTGTCGCAAGCACAGGTGAAGCCAGGATTTGTGCTCAGTGTGCCCCTTCTTACCCATCTTTGTTCCCCTGTTCCCTGCTCTTACTCCCGCCCCCCTTCTCCCCTGCAGCTTCAACGTTCATGTGTTGCAAGCAGAGGTAAAGCCGGGGTGTGTGCTGCGGCAGAGCAACTGGCACGTGCTCGAGCCCAACGGCCTCGGGTCATCAGGCCATGCAAGTGCACGATCAACACCTTCCCCCTCACTCCCTCCCCCATTCTCCTCCCGCTCCTCTCGCCCTCCTGCCCCTTCTTTCCCTGCCCACTTCCCTCCCACCCCGCCTGAATATCTGTTTCCCTCCCGTACCCCACCCCTGCAGCTTCAACGTGTATGTGTCCCAGGCAGAGGTGAAACCAGGATGTGTGCTGTGTGTGCCCCTTCGTTACCTACCTTTCTTTTCCTGTCCCCTGCTCTTAACCCCCTCTCCCACCCCTCCCCTTTGCAGATTCAACGTGTATGTGTCCCAGGCAGAGGTGAAACCAGGGTGTGTGCTGCGGCAGAGCAACTGGCACGTGCTGGAGTCCAAGGGCCTCGTGTCGTCGGATGAAGTGCGCGACTGCAAGCGCAACATGAACACGTTCGGCTTCGTGGGCGACCTGAGGGAGTCACCTGAGGTGTCGTGTGTGTACCACAGTGAGACGGCGGAGAATCTGTTTCTGGAAGACGCGAGCAAGTCTAAGATCCGGATTGGGGGGAGTCAGTAGGAAAAACGGGAGACGGGAAGAGGAGAGGATGCAATGGCAATATGAGTTTTCCGCCATGGATATTATGTGCATTTTTGGGTTTGTTGTGTCAGCATTTGTCAGAAAACTTGTTCTGGAGGATGCTATCAGAATTGGGGGAAGGGAGACAGCTTTTCTTTTTAGCTACTAGTCTGAGGTGGATGTGGGAAATTGAGAACGCAAGGTACGGTGTACATGCTAGTAGTATAGTGCAATTGGTCCTTGCGTTCAGCTGGTACCGGTAAATGAGATTTGGTCGGAAAGCTAAGGCACGTTCCGTCAACAGGCCGTTTTATCACCTGGTATGGAGGCCACGGGGGCTAGGGCAACAGGAGAATTTAGGTAGGAAATGCACGGATGCATTCCCAGCCCAAGACCGGAAAGTCATGAAAGTGCAATTTACATTCATGGACATTACAACCCAGAGATCGTCTACCCGTTTAGGAGCGCCCATGTATATGCTAAGCTAGCTAACCGAAGCAAACATTTACATAGAGGCACCACAGGAATATCATTCTCTTCGAGTAATCTAAGCCCTAGGCTGCTGTATGACCCGGGCCCGCTGCTGCTTAGGCTTGGCGATAGTTCTAGAAACGGTTCTCTCCTTGACGCGGTCGTGCTTCCACGACTTATTAACCTTGTTAGTAACCTCTTGTGTCAAGCCACATGGCTCGCCCGACCGCTCCGGAAGCTCCTTACGACTGCTTGACATCTCCAGGAACGGAAATAACAAGTGTGAGAAATAAGAAAACACGAAGTATAATAATCGAGGAAAGTAGGAAGAAACGGGCCCATTGTGTATACATGACGCTTACCTAACTACTCTTGAAACTGCTCGGCAGAAGAATCTTGCAGAATCTCGTCGAAATCCTCGTCTACGTCCAGTACGTAGAGCTCTTCTTGCAACTCTTCGTCGACCATGTCTTCCAATAATTGCTCGTCTACCAACTCCTCCTCCTCGTTGCGGTTGCCTGACTCCGTTACTTCAGCTTCCAAAGTAGCGAAGCGTTCGCGAAGCCAGTAGTCTCTAAACGCGGGGGAGTTTTGCACCTTATCCCACCATTCTTGACTGAAATCCTCGGTGTTTCTAAACGCAGCTGGGACGAAATTAGGAGCATCGGGATTCAGCAAGGACGGCATGGACGTGGGAGAACTTACTGCCATGGTGCTGAACGCGTGTGACTGAGATGTCAAATAAAAGTGACTGGCGCGAATGCGATGAGACAGCTCTACCAGGCTAGTAATACCAGGAACGAAAGAAATGAATTTGCGTGAGGCAAACAATAATAATCTGTTGCAATGCAGGATATGCGCTGAATTCTAGGACAAGCCCCTTTTATCAGTTAATGCCGCGGGAGGAGTTTGAGAGGTGCATGCTTTCCTGCTCTCCGACACGCTTGCTGTGGTCTGCGTTACACCAGCAGGACGCCAAACCACACCAGCCAGGCCTGATACTCTACTCTCGAAAACAACGGTGCTGGGTTCCATACGTACCGCTGCCTCGGTCTGGGCTGGGCTCAGTTATTGGGAGGAGTCTGGATGAAACTTGTCAGAAGGTTACGTTAGCAGGCTCGGTACAGGCGAACCTCAGGCTGGCAAGTTCAAGGTTTGCGTGTACCTCAGACATGCAGGGACCGCGAATTGCGAGAGCGTCAGGCAAGGACCATGTCTGTCTAGGTTCGAGGTCCAGCCATGCAGGTTAGGTGGTGGTCGTCAGTATGCGGTTAGGGTGAAACGAAAAATGCAGAGGTGGCGTCATGAATCGCAAATCACGGAACGAAGCAACCAATCACTGATCTTAAGAATGGAGATCCAGCAGGGATTCGACGTGTTTTCCATGTGACACACCGCGTCAATGCTAGTCCACACGCGGATAGGGACTACAAAACCCCACCAACCAACCACACTCGAGCACAGCCAAACCAGCGTGACAGCTCCAAAGCATGGCAATTATTTGAGGGCCTGTTCACGACACTTCAGTGGCAGGCCCGATAGGGTGGTAGTACATGAACCAGCTGAAACTGTATTTTAGCCAAAATACATGGTGTATAAAAACACCATCCACTTCACCACTTGGTTGGTTGTGGAACTATACATGGTTTCATCTAGGCTCCAGATTGGTTCTTAGGCCACCCTGAATAATCTTGGGAGCAAATTCAAGTTGAAAGACACACTGTCATCTGTTTGTACGAGTATGCGTAAGCGAATGCATGGCATGCATTGTGTGTTCGTGTGTTTATTTTATTTCGTCATTTCCGCATTTGCAAGTACTCGCCCAATGTGCACTTCGGCGTAACATTGTACGCGCCAGTGCACGCATAAAATAAAAGTTCGCAAAAGAGCTCGATACAGTTTGTCGTTTTAGAAGGAGCTTAGTCATTTGGTATACGTATTTTCAAATATGCATATTCAATCATATTCAGCTCGAAATTTTGACTCTTTTGTCAATTTATTTATGATATACCAGACCAAGCACCATATGACTGCAATAAAAAATGACAAATATCCGTCGTGGCAGCCGACATTAACGCATCTGTCTGCGCCTTGCCTTCTTGGACTTTCTTACTCATCGACTAACTGATCGTATGCATCCCTTCACGGTCTTTCCTAGTCTTCAGTCCTATGTTTCCTCCCCCGGTCTTGTCATTGGCTCCTCTTCCACCTGGTTTGTTGCTGTCTCCTCCTCTGTCTCCTGACCCTTCCCATGACTCTCACATCTGGGTGCGTTGTGTTAAGGTGAGGCCCTGCACACGCCTGGTTTTGCGTGTAGCAGCCCTATGCGATGTAGGGAGGTTTCGCATACCGCATACCGGAGCTTCGGTATTCACCGAGTACGCTCCAATAGTGCACTTCGGTATGCACTGTTCAACACTGAACCGAAATGGAGGGAAGTGACGACATTGCACAAACGGGTATGTGCAGCTGTCTGTTGCGAGCACATGCGCAACTACTCCTAGGCAAGTAGAAATTGCACCTCACGGTTGTTGGGCTGAAAAAAGCCCTAGGATCTTTGTAGAGTTAAAGTCTGAGTAGGATTGTAATAGCGGAAACGTTTGAGTAAAGGTCTTGAACCACCTTGCGCTAGTATGTGAGGGCAAAGTAAGTTGATTAAAACAGGCAGATACAAGGCTTTATATAAGAGTACAAGGAATACGAATAGATATAATTAACTACCTTGCTGTTGCGATTCGATACAGTGCGACTCGGGCAACTGCTCAATGTCGAGTCAGTTGTGTGTCCTTGCTGTCGCGCTGTATTGGTCAAGTCAAAGGTCGCTGACCTTTGACCTTCGCGTAACCTCCAGGCGGTTACCCTAACCTCCGAGGGTTGACTCGCGATGCTTCGATTTGGACTGCTTTGCTTTTGTGTCCTTGGTTTCGACACGACAGAGGCGCTTAAGACTTATTGTTCCCAACACTCCCCTTCGCTTCTGGAGTGTCGCTGATGGTGACGTGGCCTTGTCCAGTCAGCAGCATGCAGTATTCGAACTTATGTTTTCCGAGCTTCTTGGTCAAATAGTTGGCTGCCATCTCGGACGTGGGACAGTAGGATAACTCGAGTTTTCCTTTCTCGATCTCGTCTTTCATGAAGAATTATCGCAGAGCGATATGCTTCGTTCTGTTCGCGAATCCGCTTTTGTTGGCGATGCGAATTGCAGATTGGTTGTCGCAGAACAGGGTGAAGTTGGGTAACTCAGCTAACTTTGCTTCTTCCAGCAGTTCGCGAAGGTAGAGTCCTTCCTTGGTGGCTGAGCAGAGGGCGATATATTCTGCTTCAGCTGAAGAGAGAGCGATTAGTTCCTGCTTACTCGACTGCCAGGAGATAGGTCCGATAGGCTCAAGACGATAGACGTAGCCAGTGCGAGAGCGCCTGTTATCTGGATCGCCGACGTGATCGGCGTCGACGTAGCCGATTAGTTTCGTCGGCGTAGTTACGTCTTTGTGGTACGTTAGGCCGATCGTTGCTGTGCTCACGAAATAGTGAAGAGCACGGTCAGGTTCTGCTAGGTGATCTGCTTCAGGCCTCTTGAGGTAGGTAGCGAGTTGGCTAGCGGAGTAGGATAGGTCTGGGCGACAGGTGACGGCTGCGAAGAGCAGACAGCCCAGTTTTCACTGGTAGTCGCGTATTCCGGCGGTCTCAAGTAGGACGGAGTTTCCTTGGCCGTTTCCTGCCTTGTAGCGGTATGGCGTGGCGATAGCGGTAGGTGTGAGCGAAAAACGTTTGGCGATCGTGTCGGCGTATTTCTCGGCGCTTAGATAGATTGCGTTTTCTTCTTCGCGGATGTTGAGCCCGAGGTACTGCGTGACGGTAGAAGAAACCGTGAGCGTGAGATCTTTCTGCAGCTCCCCTTCGAACCAGGTGGTGACGTCGTCGGTGGAGCCGATGTAGAGGAGATCGTCGACGTAGACGATGAGTAGGATGTAGTTGGCGCCTTTAGTGAGTCGGTACATGCCTTGGTCATGAGGCAGTTGGCGGAATCCGATGCGGATGAGGCGGGTGTGCAGGTGCTGTTGCCACAGCCGTGGGGCCTGTTTGATTCCGTAGAGAGACTTTAGCAGCTGGCAGACCTGATTGGGTTCCCCGTGGGTACCGTGAGGGAGCTCGACGAAGATGTCGGCGTCGACAGGTACGTAGAGGAAGGCGTTGGCGACATCAATTTGTCGCAGCTTCTTTTTCTTCATGGCGGCGACGGCGAGAAGGATTCGGAGGGAGGTATGTCGACTGACTGGGGCGAATGTTTCTGTGAAGTCCCTGTCAGATTTATATGACATGGTTACTGTAGGCTACAGTGGGGTAGTACATATGGGGTACAGGTTTCTAGGGTTGCATTTTGTACCATTCTTTCCTTAGTCATTCCCATTCCTGTTCTACAACTCTCACATGGTATAGAGCGGGTTCCCTGTGGGAACTTCGCCTAGGGCCCACCGAAGCGCGCCCCGAGGCGCGCTAACTTTTTTTTCTCTCTCTCGAGCGACCCTCCG